TGGTTTCTCTGTTTCCATGTTGATTCATATGTTTACTAGGATGCCTTTTTAAAGTACTAGTACCATTACCTCCATTAGCCTTATAAATATTTCTACAATACTTGCATCTTGCTTTCTTCACTTGAACTCAATTTCTGTCTCGTAAAACTTATCGAAATACACCCAAATGTCTGATGTGTGCCTGTCATCGGTTCCGACTGTAGTCGATGAACCTGCTTCTGCTTGAGATGGAGTCGGACGAGGACAACGATTACGAGGGTGACTTCTAGAACCATCAGGAGCTATAGCAGCATGTGGAGGAAAGGGGAATATTATGAGGTGTATCAGATTCTAAGAATGTGAAAGCGGGACTATTTGAATCTACTACATTTACTTTAGTAAATTCAAGGGGACTAGGATAATTTTCTTTATCATCGAAATTGATAGGATGGAAATATATATCCATTCTAGTTAAAATAATAATAATAATAATAATAAAATTGTATATAGAAGAAATAAAGAATTAAAGAAGGAGAATTGGAATTTGGAAATATGAATTGAAAATTGCAAAAACCAATAAAAATTAAAATGAGAGCAAATTGGCAACAAAGAGATTGAGAGATTTCACTAGAGAAAATGAGAGAATTTGGGATGTGAGGAAATTTGAGAGTTTAGGCTTTATTTATAGAAAAAAAAGGGGAAACGAAAATGACTAAAAAGCCCTCCAACTGCTATAAAATATATATATTTCAAGGGTAAATTTGGTTTTTGCAAAAAAAAAAAAAATTATTTTATTTTATTTTTATTTTTTTTGTCCAACTCGGCGGGTTGGACCGATTTTTTTTAAAAAAAATATATATAACCTGTCGGGTTGGACGGGCTTTTAAAAAATATATATATATAACCCGTCAGGTTGGCCTATGAAGGCCCAACCAACCTAACGGGGGTATACGTGAGCTAGGTTGATGCCGGTCGGGTTAGGGTTGACCCGCCTAACTCAGCCCATTTTTTCTACCTCTAATCTTCGACAACCAAAAGTATCTCCAAGATGTATTATGATTCTTTTTTTTTTTTTTTTTTGTTGGGTAGTCGAAATGTCTAAGCCAGTTTGTACGAATCTCAAAAGTATCTCTGAGATGTATTATGATCCTTATTGTAAGAGTATGCAACAGCTAAATTGCTTGATAATAAATATATTTTCCATCAAGACTTTTGAATTGACGCATTCACAAGTCACCCTTTGTGGATAACAGATTCTCGTATTGGAAAATAAGAGCAAATAGCTATGGAGACAGCAACACGACTTCAATAAAACCAATGACGAATGTTTATTGAGTCCCCTGAGTTTCGATAAATATATTAAATACCCCTAGTATGAGGACTTCTTGCCCTTGGGGACCTAAGTGATATTTAACAAAAAGTTTTTAAAAGTTTCGGGATTTTTAGGTTGATACTTGATAATTCAATTCCTGAGGTTAAGGTTGATGAATATGGTTCGTATTGCTAAACAGATGGTTCTGTTGCTATAAATGAGGTATACCTCTTGTTTTTCATTTTATCATGAATTTAAATTCTTGAAAAATTATATGTATAGGTTTGTTCTTGTGTTAATAAATGGTTAATTTAAAATTCCAGTGAGGATGTTTTAGTTTGATATATGATTGTTACGCTTGAATTGATGTGGATTCTGAATTGACTGCGTTTCCTGTATTCGATTTAGAATTCGCTTTTATTATTTCTGTATCGTGGTTGTTCATGTGGTGGGTATATTGTGGATTGATTCAAGTGATTTTGTAAACTGCTTCACTGTTTGACTCTCTCTAAGCTAGGATTTAATTTAGAAAACACTTCAAAAGAAAATTCTAATGTTTTTTATGTATCAAATTCATCATCTATCTGTAACTTTTTTCTTGAAAAATAGCTTTAATGGTAAACTACATCTACATGTAGAAGGAATAATTTTCCTGGTTAGCTTTAGTGACACGACTTGATGAGTTGTGCTAGTACAACTACTAAGATAATTGATGGGATGTACTTAGTTAAGTTTTACTTCTAACGTGTCTGCGGAAATCCTCGCCGAGACAAAAACCAAGTTGAGAAAGAAATAAGAACTATGTAAAAATAAGGGAAGGTAAGCCTTTGTGTAAGTTTGAAGCTTCTCGTATTTGTTCCTTGTATATTACATAACTACTTAATACAATTTAAGATAAAGTAGTAATGACAGCTACAAACAACTTATCTCTATTTCACTTATGCTTTGATGCCCTAAAAGAAGATATTATTAAACATTGGTGCCTTTGTTAGTATATGAGCTTGTAAGTTTTTGTGTCTCTTGAGATGGAAAAAGGAAACCTGAATCTTTTGAGAAGAAAATTGAAGATGGTTATCGTATCTTGCAATTAGCTTATGCTATTGGAGATCTTCTAATTATAAAGGTTTCAGTGACACTAGGTTCAAACTTTTCTTTTTGAGCAATAAGTGCTATGAATCATCTGATTCATCTCCAAACTGCCCTTCATCTACAAGCTGCCCTGCATCAGCATGGAGATGTTCCTCGCATGTCTATAGTCACTTGAAAATTTTGCCTTCTTGCGGGAGATAGTCTTCCTCCCTGCACTAAAGACTGAAGAACAAGCTGTGTGATTCCTCTCAGTTTTTCTTGGCATCTCCTTGATAGGAAGGACCACAAACTCAATAGTGTTTTGCACATTGTGGTGTCCAACCAAATAATCAGGATAAGCCCATTCTTGCTGCTTTCAATCTCTATGACATCAATTTTCCCTCACTGGATTTCTAGATGTATTTGAATAGGTTTGTGGCCCACTCTTGACTAGTCTTTTCCATTTGAACACTCTTAAGTGGCAGGAGATATAAAATAAAAGAAAGGACTATCTTCTTTCCTCTATAACAAACCTCTTGTGAGCTGCTGAGACTCCAATTTTTTACTTCAGCATCCAGACAGTTGCTGCGCTCCTTTTAAATCCATTTTGCTGGGTCTTCTTTCACTACGTGATAGAGTGTTGAGCACTCCTAGGTGGAAAGATAACCACATGGCTTGTCTGTCTGCACTACAAGAAGCATGATACAATGATGAGCACAATGTACAAAGAGATAAAAACTTCCTCCAATACACACTCACACATTAATTCCAGAATTCTCAAAGGTGCCTTTTAGCAAATAATGAAGACCTATAAACTGAAAATGTTGGTTAGAGTAATTGTCAAGTCTCAAATTTAAATGTGCTTGAAATGTTGGTTGAGTAATCGCATTGAGTCTCATTCAAAGAGAAAGATATCAAATTTGGAGTTTCTTTTGTATATTATATAGATGATCCGATCCGCAGGACCATGATTGGGAATTGTTGATGGTTCTTTCTCGAGTAAGAGGCGAAACATAATCAACTTGAATCGGGACAGCTATTCGAAATCTTAGTGAAAGACTGGATTTGTTATCTCATGTTTGCTTTTCGTGAAAAAATACAATTGAAGCGGAGGGTTTCTTCAAACAAAAGGGCTGGGTCAACTATTCAATCAAATGATATTGAGCGTTTTTCCCATCTCTTTCGAGAAACAAGTGGCTATTTCTTGCAAAATGTGCGAGTCTCAAATTTCAATGTCATCTAGTCTTGGCTCTACTTTCAATACTTCCCTGCAACTTTACCATGATAGCCATAGTAATGTAGAATCTAGAAGCTACTTATTTTAGGAAATAGGTAGTTAAAGAATTATATTTTTCATCAGATTATTTAGAGTATTTTAATTCTTATTCAAATTATTCTTTATTTGAAGTTATTTAATAGTTTTCTTATTAGGTAAGATATTTTTTTTTCATTATATTTTTTTTAACCACTATACAAGGTTTACTTGTCATTGTAAGGAGATCTGAGATGATAGAGAAGTTAATTTTGTGTCTTTTGTATCTGTTATTTTCCCCATTGTTATTGGTCCATAATTTTCTCCATCCTCTGTATGACTTTCTCCCCTTTCTTTCTCTTTTTTGTTTTTGTTTATCCATCTGTCCTGCATCACTGGTCTCAGGCCTTATCTTGCAGAAGTTTTTGTCTGATTAAACAGATTATGATAATATACTTCTTAAAATATAGGCCTGCAAATGCTCCCTTAATTTCTTATTTTGTGAACCATTCTTCACTTTAAGAATTTTGAAATCTTATCATGGTTACTATTTCTTTCTTTCAAGAATGTGGTTGCATCACTAGAACCAAACCATTTGTTACATTTCCTTCAGCGGGTGGTTAAACTTCAAGAGTTTTCTATGGCATTAAATTAGCTTTTCATCCTATCAAATTCTCTCCTTGTAAAGTTGCACTTGTGCTCAGAATCCTATTTACGGGAAAGTTATCAGACTGACATTACTGTGAGTTATCAGGTTGAGATTTCCCAGGTTGTGCTAATTGATACAATTGAGAGTATCAAGATTTGTATTGTGCGTGTTTATTGATATGTGGAGAATCTTGCTTGCGTTAATGATTTGACATGATTTCCAAATACTGACAGAAAGTGTTTTTCTAAAATGAAAAAGTTTAAGGTCTTTTTAAAGAATGTATTGATTTTTCTATCAAAAAAAGTACATTAATGTTTTATGCGCCTGCTTTGGTTTGAATGTAACCACTATTGAAATTATTTGATGAAAATGTTCAGTTTTAGTTACCTGTTTAATTGCTTGATATTTGCTGTTTGTTTGTCTCCTTTACCCCTTTTTTGTGTCTCCTCCTGACTCCTCCCTGAATTTTGCAATTATGACAAGGGGTTGAAAAGCAACTTTCACTGGCTTTCCGTTGATTTATTTTGTAATATCTTGAAGATACAGTCAATCACAGTTATACTGACATAGCTAGTATTATTAATACATTAATTGATCTTATTTGAATTAGTGGATTCTTAATTGCAATGGTCCTTTAGTAATCTCGCTGCAGCTTTACGGAGAATGCTAAAAAAACGCAGCAACATAACTTAACTACTTAATTATTGGTCATAACATGAGATTATTCTGATTTTTTACATATACTTGAATACTTCTTCCAATGCCTATAGGCATTGAGATAGTCTGTAACATTTGTTGGGAAGAAAACACACATCAGCCATTCTTGAGCCCATTCTATGTGAAGAACAGTTGAGCACAAAATTAAAAAAGTTGAAAGCATCTGGCATCTGCCAACGAAATGAAAAGAGTGCCTACGATGGGAATGTGCAAGCCTTCACAGGGTACATCATTATGCACATGTAAGCACCAATCATTGAAAATAGTGAAACTAGTAACCATGGCCTGAAAGGAAGCTTATTGAAGAGTCTCATCATCAATGCTACCGATAGGAAGAATGTGAGAGAGTTGAACAAAATGAGTAACTGGTTTGAATATGTTTCAGTCTGGAAGATGGAATTTAGTCTAGAGTTGTAGCCTTCTTCCACTCTGCATCTTGACATCTTTAATGCTGCATGCAAGCTTACAGTTGCTAACAGTGTAGATATCAGTAACAATAGATGATGGGAATTGCTTAGTAATTTATGGTCTTTCATGGTCTGGGTGTTTGATAGATTTGGTTGGTGGTGCCACCACTGAAATGTCTTCTCAACTACATCTGTGGCTCTCAGAGCCCAAGCTCTTGGTGGAGTATTTTTAACTTCCATATCTTGCTTCCCACATTGCAGCAAGACAGGTGGGATGTCCAAAGCTGTGAAATCACAAGCATCCATGCTGTTTGGAGTTTGGGCCAGCAAACCTTTTGTTGTCTGCATCATACAAAAAAGAGGCCAGCTGCTATGGAGAAAAATATGCTAGTGTAACAAAAGGAAAAAGTATTTGATAAACAGAAGGAAAAAGTATTTGCTAAAAGAAAATAAAAATTAAAGGCATATTGAGATCACCTACTTGTGTGAATTACTTTTTTTATAGCATTTGCATACTAAGACAATTACACATTGACTTATGTGCAAATAGTGAGCATTTTACTTGTATATAACAATAGGCCTCATGAACTAGTTGTAAATATGGCATCCTTCATATTGATTTTCTAAGATGAGTGCAGTATTTCTTATTGTATTTCACTTATTCTACGTGTATCTCTTGGACTACAAACAAGAGCATGGTGCCAAAATGGACCTTAGATATAGATATACTTTGGCAATGATAAAAATAATAACCAACCCCATCAAGCAGTATATTGGGAAACTTGAAAGTTTGATGAATATCTAGCTTCTTTAAACCATGTAGAGCAGTCAGCCTTCCAGCAGCTCCAGAATGAATTTTGAACGGTTTTTCCCATGACACTGGTTCAATGGTTGAATATTCTGTACAATTAAGCAATTGAATAATTAGTACAAAATAATCATGGGAGGTTGATTTTTGTTGTCTTTCTTTTTTTCCCTTTATAATTTCCTGGGTTTCTTACTCTTGAAATGACGATTTTCCAGGCTGCCCTTCTGCACGAACAAGCATAGATGGAGCAGCCATTTATCCTCCCAGCAATATGCCAACAGCTTGACCAGGTTTCGATGTGAAAGTTCAGCGAAAAAGTCAGTCTATACATGTAAAAAGGTATGATATAATTAGTATCAGTGAAAGTCACCATTTCATTACTTGTTAATTAGTTCTCTAGAAGTGGCACTCATATATTCAACTTTATCTGTTTCTTTTCTCAAGAAATACCTTGAAACACTAACATAGAGTTAAAATTCATGAAACTTTGAGACATTGGATGAAAGTTTTAGGTTAGGTTTCCATTACAAACATTGATTAATTATTCAATATTAGAATATTCTTTAAATTTGTCCTTACTTGTTGACGCGAAATATATTAATTATATTCTTTTTAATAAACATTTTAATTATTTTCAAATACAATTGCAGCCAAACAAAACGAAAGTAACTAACAATCAGAAACAAAACTACTTTTGAAGCATAATAGGTAACTAAAGAAAAAAGGAAAAAGTTAATTATTGTAGATTGATGATAAATACTGCAAAATAAGATATCATGAAGAATTTTTTATTTTGGTTTTTAATGAGTTAAATAGAGTTTTCACCTAAGTTTTCTTATTCAGAGCCACTAAATTTATAAGGGTTTTAAGGTGACAATGGAGCCTGAATCAGGTTTGCTCAAACTCAAACCTGGATTCATGAAAAAGAAAAAAAAATTGACCCTTCCTTGGACTGAAGCACCCACCCCCACCCAACAACCTTTTTTTGTCTCTCTCATTTCAGATCCACTGCAAATGCAGGCAGGTCCTCCTAGGTCTAATAATTTTTCTTTTTCATTTTATAATGGGAACTGAAAAAAATTTTGATACGGGTCTAGTCTAGGAAGGATACAACTAGACTCAGACTCGGGTTTAAGTACTTTCTTCGGTACCCGTTTCATAGGTTCTAGCACCCTCAAGTTTGGCAGTATCTTTCAAGTCATGATTACTGTTGCTCTTCCTTTATAGGAACAAATTTCTTCTCAACTTTGTCTTCCTCCTTATTTCATTTAGCTTTTTCATGGAGTAATTACACATCATGAGTTGTGACTGTCTTTATCGATTTTTTTTTCTTAAACTACTGTAGCCAATAGATCTTGAACCATATTTGGAATTAGCACTTGTCACCAGTCTCATCTAGCTCAAAATTTTCTCTTTCCATATTGAGCATAGCATGTACAACCAAAAACTTTCATGCCTCTTAGAAGGTTGTCTCTGACTCAAGCTTCAACAGGAACTTCAAACTTCTGTCACAGGGAAATCAAAGATTATACTTTAAATGAATTCTTTCATCTTTTCCTAAACCAAAAACTTTCATGCCTCTTAGAAGGTTGTCTCTGACTCAAGCTCAACAGGAACTTCAAACTTCTGTCACAGGGAAATCAAAGATTATCCTTTAAATAAATTCTTTCATGTTTTCCTTCCCCACGAGAATTCTTCTCTTTCAGTTTTTTTTTCTTTATTTGAAGTCATAGCTATTAGATTTTCAGTGTATCAAAACAATCTTTATTCTTCTTCATTTCGTGCTTTCTAATTCCTTTTTAGGAGTTTGAAGTTTAACAGCTTGTATGTTTGCATCTCACTGAATATTTGCTAAAGAGTAATTCAAGCTTCCTTTTTTCTTCAGTAGCTCTTACGATTCTTCAGAAACTGGTGTTTTGTTTCACATACTCGCTTTCAACCAAGTGAACAGGGTTTTATTGGTTTTCATCTTAAATTAGCAACAATCATGGCTCCAATTTTCAAGTAATGGGCCAAAGGGCTGCAGAATCCTCAATTTTGAGTTTCTAGTTCTGGTCATGGGAACTTTTTCCCTTTTTCAGAAATTTGTTACTTACTAAATGGAAAAATTAACGTGGTTGAAGCATTGTAAGGGAAGAGTATAAAGATAAGGGGTTTCATACAAAAGAGGCAAGATATTTTCATCTCCCTTGTATCTGTCCTGTACAATAGAGTGGGAATTTATAGATGTTTTCACAATCAATAGATGGGAAACTAAGCAAACCATATAATGAAGAAATGATCATGTACCTAAAAGAAGTTAGCTTTTAACAATTTGAGTAGTTAAATGAAAAACAGAACAAAAAGATTTAAGCGACATAATATTGGGATCCCACATTGAAAGGGAAAAGGGTGGGCATGTGGGTTATAAAGGCTTGGGCACCCTCCCTTGGTAAGCCGGTTTTCCAAGGAGAGTTCTACTTAAGCCCATGAAAGACCCATGGCCCAGCCCAAATTGTTGAGTTATTGGAGTGGGTTCCTATCAATTGGTATCAGAGCATGATCCTGTGCCTATGTGGCAGCGCACGCGTGGCAGGCTGACCCGTGGCAGGCTGACCTTGGGCCCGGGCTGCTACCCCGAGAAAGGGCATGGAGGCCCGAGGGAAAAGGGGATCCGCGTAGTCACCCAAGGGGTAAAGAGGCCGACGGGGGTAAAGAGGCCGACGTGGACGTCGGTTGCAGAAGCGTGGTGGAATATTGGGATCCCACATTGAAAGGGAAAAGGGTGGGCATGTGGGTTATAAAGGCTTGGGCACCCTCCCTTGGTAAGCCGGTTTTCCAAGGAGAGTTCTACCCAAGCCCATGAAAGACCTATGGCCCAGCCCAAATTATTGAGTTATTGTAGTGGGTTCCTATCACATAACAACAAACGCTAATGATTTTATTGGCATATTATGAGTCTAATATTTATGTTTGCATAAATTTAAGTGTAGAGTACCTTTTCATCATCAATATCTTTTGCCAAAATGCGAAGGATTGCGGGAGCACTGTTTCGAACTTTTTCACCATGAACATGAGCAAGAAGTGCAGAGTCTTGTAAGGCTGCCCATTTCCGATTCAGGTCTCCATCTTGGTAGAGATTCACCTGCTGTACCTGGTTGAAAAGACATTTCACCTCATCGAGCTTGGGTTCTGCATCTATAACTGTGTTCCTACTCTTCCATTCTTCAGTTGATGAGTGCAGTGATTTTAGATTTTCACTGAGGAGAAGAGGTTTGCTCTCATTTTCAGACTGTTCTATCGCAATTCTTCTTAATGTCTGTCTTGAAGAACTCTCTGCAGGGTCAAACATGACACCCCCTGCGATTGGCCAATATAATAATTGGCGAGAAGCAGATAGATAATTATCCAAAGACTCTTCCCAAAGAAGAAAAGCCGAATCTATCATTTTCTTCTTACTTAGCTGCACATTTTCAGGCTCAAATTCTTTATGCTCCTTTCCCAACGAGGTCCTACAAATCTCTGGTGTGAGGATTGGTGAAGTGGTACAAGAATGATCAACCTTTCTCTTCTGTACTCCTGACTCGGTTTTCATAACTTCTACCTTAGCTGTCTTAAATTCTGGTTCCAGCATATTTTCACTGAGTCTTCAAACCTCTACGATGACTAATGGCTCTTGGAGTTAAGTGTTCGGAAAATGACTCACTTTGGTATATGAAAGAGGATTGTTAAGACTAAAGGACTAAACAGATATCAGAGCAAAGGTTGCATTAAGTCAGACGAATAAAGTTTCATGTAAGTCTGTGCCTTATTTACTGTGACCATTGCAAGAAAGCTCCCTCACAGGTTAGTTTTCCAGGAAATTTCTTTTTCTACTTCGTGTATTGCAAGGCAAGTTTATGGTATTATAAGGAGAAATAGCTAGGGATTTTCCATGAACTCTACCTAGGAATAAAAGGACAACAGGGACAGTTACACAGTGTTTACGCAGGCAAGATTTTCAAAGGAATTAGTGGTGTTATTGTTAGTGCTAGCACATGCCGCGTATTCACCTCTTTGCTTCTGACACAAGTTGAGAAAAGAGGCTAATAAATCTTAAGCGAAACTTCTCCTGGGCTTTATGGGTTGACTGGTAATTACCTGGAAATGGTAGAAGTGTATTCTTCTCCTTTAAGTGATTTTCCCCAATGACTTACTAAAACCCAGCGACTTACTAAAATAATTGGGATAGACTACTCTGATTCGGTTCCTGTATCTTCCAAACATCTCCCAGAAATTCTCTTTCATTTCACAGAAATTTGGACCACCACCCAATTTAAAGAAATTTCAATGATTTATAAAATTGTTATTGGGGATTTAAGCATGGGGCCTCACAAGTAAATCAAATAATTAGATAGAGGCCATTAATCTCTAATCATTAATTTTGCAAGTATGAGTTTGCTGCATTTTTTAATTTTAATTTGTTTGATGTAATTGTGTTTTGGTTTGATATAAAAATCATAGATAAGTAAAAATTTAAAAAATAAATAAATATAATTAAATATATGACATGACTTGACAAGAAAAAATATGTCTAGTGATTTGCAAGTGTGGTATTGTTTTCTTAGTATTTTCCTCTGATTTTCATTTTGCCTTTTTACATTGGAACATCTGAACATGAACCCAAATTAGAGGTGCAGTGTTTATATAATAAGCTTTCACCTCAAGCCATCCGGATCATAGGGAACACATTAGAACACTAAAAGAACCCCAACCACCAGCCATCCGGATCATAGTTGAATACATTAGAGTACTAAACCCCACCACCGCCAAATCCCAAAAAAAAATGGCCTAAGTTCATGAAAACAACAATTTTGAAGGGAGGGTGGAGGAAGAAACAAGGGTTATTAATTATGTTTAACTTGGATCATTTCAGGAAGCTATTGGAGAGATGATGCTGATAAAGTTAAGTCGTTACTCTTGGAATACGGAGAATCATTGGAGGATGATGGAGGATCAATGTTGCTGCAGAAACTTTTTCTCATTGCCTATGGACGAGGAAGCTTCATGTGCTGAAGGGTTGGCAAAACTGTGGCCTCAAATAGCTAGCACAAAAGTGAGAGGATGGTTACACAGCCATGCATCATGTTTGCTGTGGAGGAAATGTCATGATGATTAAATTATTGGGGACTCTAATCCCCAGTCTCTTGAAACTCTGACTTCCAATCAAGAGACGGTTCTTCACCTTGCAGCAAAGAACTCCAAATGTGATGCTTTTGAAGTCGCTGGATGATAAATTAAAATTTCAACCTAAAGGATGTCCTGAATAGTAAAGATGAAACGGTGACACAGTATTGCACATCGCTACAGTAAATAAAATCACAAGGTAACGATATCAGTATATCTCACCATGAAACTCCGTGTTTTAAATTACCTAATGCTTGCAAGTTCTAAGGAGTTAAATAATACTTTGCAGACTGTAAGCTGTTGTCCGTGAGTGTTCCAATGGCATGCATCTCTACTCAGTTGCAGGAACAACAAGGGACAAACAGCATTAGATGTGTGTCCATCTGATTCTAAAGATAAGAATCACAAAAAACTTCAAGATCCTTAAGGATGCTGCTGCTGCACATGATCAAGAATTATGTTCCCGACAGATCAGTATGCCTCTAAGTGACTTCGGAGGCAAGAAACGTTTTATGATGGTTCTAGGATTGATAGTACAGCAGCTTTACAGTAACATGCAATTTGCCTGAAGCTTTTCTCAAAGATCTGCAGGCGAAACTTTGGAGGCTAAGGATGTGATATTGGTAGATTGCCAACGGTTTTCACCTCATGGTTTTAACTCAGCTGGATTATGACTACCATGTTTATCATTGTGATACTGATATGGCCACTGCTATTTAGAAGCATTCTGCTTTTTGTGGTGATCTGCCATGCATTGTATATGTCATGTTAGTGGACAAGATCACTCCTAAATTATCTGTAAGAATTGGGATCTCCAGCATTTCCGGTATTGCTTTGCTATGGTCATTAGCGATAGTCTTTACTCTCTCTGGAGTTGCAATACTGTGTTTGGCAAAATACAGTTTGCTATGTTTTTGCGGCTTGTCAATTGTTTGTGGATGAGAAGAAGCAGCTACAGGAGCAATAATTCTGGAAGATTTGGAAGCATGGTAGAGCTGGATCAATTAACTGTTTAAACTGAATTTTTTGTTTCTTTTTTGAATTCATAGGTTGTGTACATAAATAAAGGATTAAGTTGTAGAGTAATACTAGACTTATAAAAATCTTACAAATATTATATACAAAGTGGATGGTAGTAAATGAATGGAAGGTAAATATGATGAGTTTGATTTTTTGTATTCATTCTATTTTTTTTCTTTGCATCACTTTGTATATAAATTTTTATGAGATTTTTTTGTATGTTTAGCATTATTATAAGTTATGATATCATTTTTGATGCAAATTTGTACCAAAAAAATTGACTTAAAAAGTCTTTTTTTATTAAAATTGGCTTAATTAACAAATTTGTATATTCATGGACCAGCAACTTTAGAAACAAGTAAATTTGTTAACATAAAAACAAATATATATTATATATATTATAATATTTATTATATATATTATATATATAATATTATATATATATAGATTTTTTAAATTTTATAACTATATATAATAAAGGTATAACAGGCATTAAGGTAATACAATAATTTAATTGTTTTTTTTTAATATAAAGGGCAAAAGGGAAAACAATCATATTTTGCGGTGCCAATACAACTATAGAAGTCCACCCCTCGGATTTTCCAAAAAATCTGTAACTATTGTTATTATCAGATAATTAAACCCAAAAGAAACTAAATTAAGCTTAGATTATAAATAAGGCCTATCATATACAAATTTAATAATTAAGCCAAAAACAAATCAAATAAAATTTAGATTATAAATAAATAAAATGTATTTTATACAAACTTAATAAATTAAGGTTTTGATATATCACAAATTATTTGTTAGCTTATGATTAATATTAGAAAAAAAAATTATTATCAATAAATATTAAAATTTTAATATTTATTTGTAGAAAATGTTTTTAAGGTACATGATTTTTTAATCTCACCAGTCACCTCCTCGGTTCAGATCTTGGCTTACCACTGTTTGTGCATATTGTTGGAACAATATGATGATGATGTCATTGATGAAAATTCCAAAAACCTGGCACGCATCGTCAGTTTCGGAAAACTCAGGGGTAATAATGAGATTTACTCGAGATCCAATTCCAACCCGGTCTGTAAGTTAAAAAAGTTTGAAATAAGCTTCTGTTTCCTCTGGTCTCAACCACTCATGCACTTTCTTCCTCTTTTCTTTGATCTTTCTACTGCTACAAAATTACAACTAGAAATTGCGTTATAAATGTAAAGAAATATCATATGAGCGCAAAGATTCAACTGTATTGTTTGTACAAGTAAACTTACGTCCAAAGGAAGAAAGGACATGAACATTTACCTTTTCTCGGAATATTGCCTTTGTCATAAGTGAAGCATTGAGAAGGTAATATTGTGAATTTTGTATCTCCATCATTGATTTGATTTTTTCCTGAGGTGACTTATTAATTTCCCATAGTTTTTCTCTGAATCTAGTTTTCACATAAAAAAATTATTGTGTTATTGAGATTGTGATTGTGATTATGATTTTAATCTCCGAATGGATATGGAATTCAAGTTTAATTAATTTATAATCTATGATGAATTCAACGCTCACATTTGTTCTTCCTGCACCTTGCTATGTAGAGAATGTTTCAGTAATATTGAACACCAGTAAAATATCCTGTAAATCAGTTTTCAGTACTAATTATCAAGCATTAAGGCATATGAGTTCTTCATACTTTTACATATATTTGATAATTTCTACATGCCTGTAGGCACTGGAACACTTTTATTTCTACAGCAAAAGAGGAGCTTTGCTTGGTGTTATTCCATATTCCGTGAATCTGATGATGAATAAGGCACCTGCCAACAATATCAACAGGGGCTAGGATGAGCACGAGCGAGGCTTGAAAGGGTCCAATATTGTGCACAGGTAAGTTCCAACCATTGAAAATACTGAAACTTGTAACAATGGCCTGAGTGGAAGCTCATTGAAGAGTCTCATCAGCAATGCTACCGATAAGAAAAAGGCGATGGAATTAAACATAATGATCAACCAGTTTGAATAGAAATAATATTGATTTTCAGTCTGGCAGACAGCATCATTTATGCTAGAATTGTATTCATAGCTTTCTTCCACTCTGTATCCTTGGATCTTTAAGGCTGTGTGGAGCGTTATAGATGCCAGCAATGAGGAGATGAGCAATAACTGATGGTAAACATTGGTTTTGGACTCTTTTTTATTTTTCATGTGGCAAGTGTTCTGGTGCCACCAAGAAAATGCTTTCTTAAATAAATCTTTAGCTCTCAAAGGTCTCTTCCTCTGTGGACTCTTGTTAGTTTCCGAATCTTTCTTCACGCAAACGGGTAAGACAAGAGAGGTTTCCAAATCTGTGAAGCCACCGGCATCCATGGCATTCTCGGGTCTGGAGTTGCTGGGAGTATGAGGTAGCAAACTTGTCTGCATAACATCCTAGTGTAACAAAACATAAACAATTTTAGGATATTATTCAGTTTTTCTACATTGTTTACAAAAACCAAAAGAGCATCAAGGGAAAACTTACCCCATCAAGCTGTATATTGGAGGGGTTGATGTCTCTGCAAATATCTTGCTTCTTTAACATATCTAGAAACACCAGTCCTTGAGGAACTTCAATGGCAATTGTATGCCATTTAGCCGAAGAGATTTGTTTGATGGAAGGATATTCTACCATAGCATTAGGCATTAGCTGTCTGAACCTTGTAAGCTTGAATCATATATATTCTTACAGCTGCCCTCTAAAATAGTGATGAAAACAAATTCAAGCAGGTCAAATGAATGAACCCTTTTCACAGCAAGCACAAAACATGGAATAGACTCAAATAAGTCAAAAAGAAAAAGTTGATAAAATGATTCCAATTTTCGATGTAGGTGTATTGAGTTGTGCATTGTTCATATGCCTTTTTTTTCCAAGAAATTTTGTTTTGGCACCCCGATTACAGGAAGGCGCATCTATAGATAGAGAAATAATCAAGAAGAAAACAGGTAGAATGATGTAGCCAGGAAATTTCCATAAACTTTATCATAAAGAAATTAAGCTTTTCAGATACTTCCTCAAAGCTTTCATCAGCAAGCAAGACTAAACGTGATTGCTGGATATTGGTACGGAAGATACACAAGAAATAAATAATGTAACACAACACTACATTCAACGATGTGCAAAGAGGAAATAATATCACTTAAGCAATTTCCTTATATCTTCGCTCAACTTTACCTCAAATACTTAGAAATTGCAATCGATAAAGGCCAAAGTGAAGATACTCATTGATTTCGTGGATTTTTTCTCATATGCTCCAGGAAAGCAATAAATTGAATTGCCTTTTATTAAAAAAAAAATATTTTTTTTTTCTTACCTTTCTTTTTTTAATATAAAGAAATTCCAATAATGAAGAAAATTCAGAAGTCGAGTTGCTGATGAAATTGCCCTGAACAAGTTACTTCACCTTCAAACATGTCTATAAATATTAAGGATATGAATTATAGCCTTTGACTTGAACCGCCCTTCTAATCATATAGGTAAAATGCACTGATTGAACAAAACAGAAGGCTTAGTAAATTATGTGTAACTTGGTTGTGTTGTTTCAAGAAGCTGTGAGAAGAAAGGATAAAATGTTCATCAAGTCCTTTTCTAAGTCTCTCTCCACGTTTCTGAAGAGATTGCAAGATTGTGCCCTAAACTTGCCATCATAAATAGATTTTCACACACCCATATGCATGTTGTTTCCAGTGAAACCAATGCCAAGATGTTCTATTTTACATCTTGTTTTAGATAATCTTGATCAAATGATAATTAGAGCCTACTTGAAAGTGTATATTTCTAAAAAATTTCTTAAATATAGTCACAAAGCAATATTCAAGTCTGGTATATAACCCATGGACTTAACGTTCTCCCTTAACTCTTCTAACTTGGCAAAGATGTCACCTTTTTGTGGATGATGTTGATCGCCTGCATAGAATTTGTGGACTTTACCTTGTACAGAAATCCAACTATATCCTGGTTCCTTTTTTACACCTTTCTCTTTCATTACTTCTCTAAGAGTAAGGCTATCTTCAAAACTCCCACTCTCAATATACGTGTTCGATAATAGAACATAGGTAGCTGAGTCTGGTCTAACTGAAAGGACCTTCTCTGCAGCAATTTCACCCAACTCAACATTGCCGTGAACTCTGCATGCTCCCAGCAAGGTTTGCCAGACCATTTCGTTGGGCTCGATTGGCATCTTTCTTATAAACTCCATTGCATCATCCAAACGACCCACACGACCAGATAGATCAACAATACAAGCATAATGTTCCATCTCTGGCACCAGACCATAATTTTGTTCCGTTTGTTGAAAACAAATTAATCCTTGCTCTACCAGTCCTCCGTGGCTGCAAGCAAACAGAACACAAAGTAAAGTAACAGAATTAGGCTTCATACCCAGTTGCTCCATCTTTCTAAAGACTCTAAGGGCATCCTCTGAGAGACCATGTTGAGCATAACTTGATATCATAGCTGTCCATGAGACAGTATCAGGGTTAGAAATCCTTTCAAAGACTTTCTCTGCCTCACTTACACTGCCACATTTTGCATACATGTCCACCAGAGCACTCTCTATGCGCTTGTCCGTGCCAACCCAGCCTTGCACAAAAGACCATGAATTTGCCGTCCATACTCAAGAAAACAAAGGCCAGAACAAGAAACCAGGACACTAGAAAAGGTAAACTGGTTGGGTCTAAAACCTTCTTCTGTCATCTGTGAAGAAATAGCCAGTGCTTCCTCCCACTCCAAGCATTGAGAGTGAGCAGTCACCGGGGTTGTCCATGAGAACATATCTCTGTCCTCCATCCTGTAAAAAATCTTTTTTACGTATTCAAGAGCTCCACATTTGGCATATGCATCAGCAATTGCATTACAAACACTAATAACCATCATATCATGACCAGACTTCAAAACCATCCCATGAACTTCCTTCCCAAACGGTTAATACTTAAAATCAGCAATACCATTGAAAGTATGAGAATGGAAGCCTCTTATAACAATATGGGCATGCACCATTCTACCCAAGTCAATGCATTTTAAACCAACAGATGTCTGCATAATTGCAGAATACGCAAAAATAACAGGTAAGACTCCAAAATTAAGCATTTGATAAAAATACTTAAACCCATCCAAGAAAAAGCCATTCTCTGTTGAGCCAACATTCATTCAGCTCTGTCATTGGAACTCACATCTAGTGGCAAAACTGGTTATACCACAACAATTCATCATACCATTGCTTTACCTTTTAAAACATCTATTTACATTCCATAAGTGCTAGTACTCATTAATGGGAAACTAACTAAGACAATCCAAGAAATGTTATGCCACTAATTTTCTTTAAATAAACTCAAGGAAAAGTATTGTCTGTACCATGTGCTGCAGCAGCAATGAGAATTGATGCAGAAGTTGAAAATATAAAAGAACGACCCCTAGATTGTATGAACTGCTTCCTCCTTTTGCTGTATAGAAACATTCAGAATAGCTGTAAGTATTATACATATCTTAACTATCATCATATAAATATATTACATATGCACATAAGATGCTCTTTATAGCAAACAAGAAAATAGAAATCATAAAATGCATCAGTAGCTATTTTGTGCGAAAATCAATAACTTTCAAGCTATGTCCCACCAAAAGAAAAAAAAAAATAGCTTCATCAATCCGCAAAGAAGCAATCAAAACCAAAATTTTGAAAGTAGATATCTTTTATTGTTTGTATCAATGAAAGGAATTATGTTCCGTCATCCTTGATCCTACAAAAACCTTCAATATTTTTACTCTCAAGCTAAAATGGCTTCTGGTTTTGTTGAGATACCAACAATAGAAACATGTAAACTTAAATTGGGGAAACTCATGAAATTTTTGTTACGCATTAAGTTCAAAGTCGTTCTTTCTAAGCAATTTTGTTGCACTTGTTTCTGCAATAGTTTAACACCGGATGTCTGTAGACACTGCGACAATATGCTAGGCAATTCTTCAATCACCAAAATCAAAAATTAAAGAGAAAATTTCGAAGGAAATCTATTGAAGTGCTAAAATAACCTTGTCGTAGCCTACATTTGAGCAAAAAAGCACAATGTAAGGGAATTGTTCTGCTTTCTGTTCTTAACAGGACAAAAAGGGCCAGGGTCTTGTAATTACCTGCATGCTATGAAACCACCATGACAACCTGCCGCATTACTCAGAGTGCCAATGCATATGTCTATATCTCTTTCGCAATTGAATTCCTCGGCCACTCCCCCACCACTTTTGCCACAGACAAATGTTCCATGAGCCTGAAAATAGTTAAGGAATAGTTACTTGGTGCTTGCATTCACCTGTAGCTAATTTATCAAGAAGATACCATCTTTCCCTATGCCATACACTATAAAATTTTGGACAAGCTTTTTAGCATATGAAAGAGAGGAAAGAGAATGTATATATCAACTGAAAAATGATTTATTGAAGAATCAATATAATTAGAATAGTTTTTGAAAAACTGAAATGTTAGACCTTTTATGTAGCATAATTTAAAGGCTTTAAGTGTGCAAGAAATAAATGAGTATGTAGTCCAATTCCTCAACAAGTGTCATGTAAAAGACAAACTCATAACAGTTTCTTCAAGTGCTAAATACTTGAACATTTTCTTTTATGCCTAGAAATTCCCCAACCTTTCATAAATCTTCATGAATTTAAAACTGGGGATTACAAGAAACTTATTGGATGTATCCAAGTAAGTGCTTTGGGGAGTGTTTTACCCCTAACCTCTTGGTTGATTCCAAAAGTCCATACCACTTAACCTAACCCTTGAAGTCAAATAAGTTGAAAATAAACTAGAAAGAAAAAAAAAAAAGTGTAGAACACTGGACCATCAAGACAACTTACATTATCTAAGACTAACAAAAAGCCATACTTCTTCCGGAGCTTCACGAGTTCAACCATTGGTGCAAAGTCTCCATCCAAAATAAACAAGCTGCAGAAAGAAGAGAATTAAGCACATCGTCAAGAAAATATGCCAGAAGTTAAAACATCAGGATTTTCAGCAGTAAAAACATTAAAAATAAATAAATAAATAACACAACATATAAACATAGTAAGACCAGCAATCTGACAAATATATGGTATATTACCAAAACACCTAGCAAATATTTCCAAAAGACTCGTTGAAGTCACTCAGAGGACTGTGAACCACAGAGTAGTAAGGTTTCGTAGACAAGATGCAAAATATCCAAGGTATACACTCATAAATGGTGTCAGCCATGTATCTGAAGTTTACAATCTTATTAGGAGATTTAACAGAAGTAGCTTCTTGAACTGCCTAGAGCATGTGGTGGCCTTACCATTAGCTACTCCATCTCTGGAGACAATCTCATCTCCTGTAAATCCAAAAAGAAACGGTTAAGTGTCAAATAAAGTACTAAGTAAGCCATGTCTCCACTCATATTGTTAATAGCCCTGTCCAAGTAAAATCCAAGGAGCGACACTAGTGCATAAATCGTTCACCAATAACTATATGACAATGTTTGGTAAGCCAAATTGTCCAGTAGCATTTGCAATACTATAACGAATATTATATTGGGTATATTTTAATCATAAAGTATTTTTTGATTAAGTTTAATAAATTTTACAAGATAAACCTATTGTACAGAATTATGTATTCACTATGAATATGATACAGGGCTACTGTATAATCCTACAAAACGTTAACTAAAATGTTGGCAATATCATCCCTAAAAAACAATGGATAAAAAGAAGCAAAACCAAGTATAATGAAAACCACAAAAAAATATCATTAAAACCAATCAATATAAGACAAAGAAAGGGAGCAAAAGTACCAGAACTAGGAATGTCATGGAGCCATCTGTGAAAGGCGGAGTCAGAGATTGATATTTCAACGGCAGATCGATCCCAGGGTTGCATTTCATCGAACACCTCGTAATCATCGTCACGTTCTTCGACGGGTGGAGACTGGAGATTGTTCTTTCTGTAGTTCATCAAATGGGCCTTAGAAAGCGAAGCACTTTTTAAATTTGAAGCTTTGAGAGTGCTGCTTCGACCCAGTGGTCCCACTCCCACAAGTTCGTCTCCCTTTCGCAAAATAAGATGAATGAAGAACGAAGGGGGCGGAACAGAGACGGGGTTTAAGAATTAGAGATGAGTATAGTTGGAGTTGGCTGCTATTTACTCGAGTGTCAAAGACGAAGTGGGTAATTGTAAGTTGGGCCGAGTCCGGGTCCGGGTCAGGTTCGGCGCAAGTTAATGTGGAGTCAAATATTCTCACTTTGTCATGTTTGACTTGGTTTCTAGAGGTTCATATTTTGGTTCAATAATGTTTAATTGATTTTAAATTAGTAATAGGAAGGGATTATCCCTCAATATGATGCATTGTCACATCCATTTATAAGAAATAAATTGTATCAGATCATTGAATAGTTTAATTATTTAAACTTTTTTATTAGTTAAATAAAAAATTACCCAAATTTAATGAACATTTTAAGTGAGACCTCTTATGTTATTATTATTATTTTTTTTTAATTTTATCTCTGTCTTTATCACCAAATAACACAAAATTCTTATCCTCAATATAAAAGTGAAAAAAAAAAATCTGATTTAATTATTGTGGTTTTTGTTTTTTGTTTTTTGTTTTTTTTTAATGATATAATGTTAAAAAAAAAAACATAAAACGTCGAAAACGTGTTTTGTATATAACAAAAACAAGAAAAATTGTGTTAATTCAAATGGAGTTGATAATTCGAATATAATGGATTCAAATGGAGTCACATGGCGTGTCTATTGCTGTATTGTTGCTACATCCTCCCCGGCCCAGTGTCAATCTCAAAATGCATATGCTTTCCACAAAAAAACCATACACTATTTTTCCAATTAATTGCCAATTGCCTTAATTTATATATTCTGCAGGATATCTCTTTAATAATCTTAATTCCTGTATGATGTACGTGGTTCTCTGTTACTAATATCAATGTCAAATTGGTACGGAACTAGCAGCAACCGTATGCAGATCTAACCTGCATGATCCATGTTATTAATTATTTCGAAAAAAGCATTACTCAGCATTCTTCTACGGCCAGATCAGTGCACTATTGACCAAATTCAGTCACTAATATGCTACTACGACAGATTTTAATCACTTTTTAGTGATGGTGGCCGAAATCTAATAAATATGGGTGGGTGAGAGTATTTTTATCAATTTATAAAATTTTATTGTTGAAAGTGTTTAGTTAAATTAACAAATCTAAGAGATTAAAAATAATCTAAATATTTTAAGTTGCATAGAATTGAATTGAATTTCAAGAATATTAAAACAAATACATTTTTAGGTTCTTGGGATAGGATAGTAGGGAAGTAGTGAAACAAACAGAGTTATTTCCTTTCATGATGGTGAAATTTAGGAACTAAATAGAGAGACAGTTAAAAATTTCTTTTAATTATATAACTTCAAATAGTTGTAAGAAATTTTTTTTGTTTATATAATTAAAATGATATTATTAGTTAGATGATTTTATTATATGTTTATATAATTCAGCCCATACATTTATCACAGTGTAAGTAGATATAATAAATTTAGAGAGGTTGAAAACCAGATTCTTTACAATTTGATTAACGAGATGCACGTAAAATGGTGGAATGGTAAAACCTGACTGGTTCATATTGCAATACATCACAACCTTAATTTTATTGGACCATAGTATTAGCATTGCTCACAATTGTAGGCAAGAAAAAGACGCAAAATTCATCTACTGTACATATATTTATATGCAAGCAAAATATCCACTCTCAGAATTAAGACAACCACCAATTTTGCCCAGGAGGATTCATCAAATATTGCATGAGTACACTATCACTGCCAAGAATTTAATCTAAGAGGAAACAATGACCATAATGTTCTCCAAAAAAATGAGTACAAAAAGACAAAAAAATAAAAATAAAAAAAATGAAACAAGAGTATTGGACATTGTTTCAGTTAACTGCTATAATCTGAAATAAATAACATTACTAAATGCACCATTCTTCTACCTTATTATAGAATTCAAGTGTTGTAAGCAATCAACAACTTTGAACAGAAGAGACTACGATCCCTTTCTCCTTCTGCGAGAATGCTTTCAACATGATCTCCATTATGCATTAATGGATTCTTAGCCATTTTACTTTCTCAATGGACTAGATCCTGTAATCTCCAATGGGGTGAACATGAAATTCCTAGAAAAGATAGCTTCTTTGCCTGCCCAGTGAACTCTCAAATTTGTCAAATAAATATACCAAGAACAAATTTTCAGCAGTTCAGACAGTAGCAAATTAAATATTGAAAATTACTAGTGCCCACCAGAAAACTATAAGAAAAATCATTTACAGGTTACTGAAATGCAAGAGGGTGAGTGCATTTTGTCAATTAAATATAGCTGGGCAACACACTTAATTAACTGCACAACAAAAAATTTATCCTATCAGAGAAACGAGGAATGTTGACTTACCAGTTAAAGACAGGCAACTGAATTCCCGACGGACATACCTTGTCATAGCCCGCAGAGATGAAAAAGATACAGTAATTATATGGCTTTAGGAGAGAAAAGACTCAATAAAATCTTAGAATTATCACAGAGAAGGTGGAATAATTTGCAGATAGAATTTGATCCGCACACAGAAAGATAGATGGCATTTTCAGTAACCCCTTCTGTATTGGGGGATGTGTACCACAATGATTGACAAAGTATGCTATTTAGTACGGAAAGACACAACAGCTCTATGAGTGAGCTGATGGTTCACTGCACCCCATCAAATAGCAGTGACCATGACGAACTTTCCTTCATTGCTGGAAAGAAACATTTATCTCTTTGTAATGGAGGATTGATGTATTATATTCCAAAAATGATATTTATTTAGATCCTAGCCAGGAGATTCATTATTTTATCTGTTATATCTATCACATCAGTAAAATGAATGGAGACCTTGCATCCAGCAAGGATGACAAACACAGTGACAAAAGCAAAGTTGAATACATGCCTGAACTGCCCGTAATGCAGCATCATCTGGCTTCGAAGTACCATCATCAGAAAAGATATTCCTGCAGCACAAAAAACGCCAGTGCATATCATTGTTAAAAAGGTAAATATCCAAAAAAAACTTTGCCCAGGCATAAGTGCCTACCTCACCCAAGGACCCCTGGCTATTACCCAAGTCGCTGCCTAAATTATAAACACCAGACAACAATAAATTAGAGAGTTAGTAATCACAAAAAATCTACCCACAAATATTTCTCCCATGACAATGAAACAGTAAGATATGAGCACTGACAGTCCCCTTCATGTCAAATGCAATGCCAAGACTGACTTTTATAAAATGGTTTACCTCCATATTACATTTTGTAGCTCATCCTGTTTAGCCTCTGGAAGCATGGCAGCATCATAAGCAACAATATTTCCATAGAATATTTTGCAACAATATTTCCATAGAATATTTTCTCCAACTCCTTCATCCATTTTGACAACAATAAGTTAACCTGCATTACAAAAATTTGTAAGCAATAGTTGGAAAAGTAGACAATTACAATGCATTTGTAGTATAATAGAAAGCTAATGATGATGAAGCATTGCACATGCTCTTTATATATAAAACTGCTTCATAGCTAGCTACGCCTGTAGTCCAAATATTGCCAGCACACTGATGGATGAGATGAGAGATGGAAACCTAAAATAAGTTTTGGGGTCTTGTTGTAAAACAGCACACATAAGAACTGATTATCTATGGTCTTATCTTTTAAGAACTAATTGATGCTAAACATTTTTCAGCAAGCAACATGAGGATTTTGATTATATCTTAATGAATTTATATAATTTTCAAACATATCCCAAAAAAGAGAAATCAGACATATGTTCAAGATAATTTGATTGGCCTTCAATATTCTCCTAGGCCAGCTATGAACACATTAGAAAATGGTTTCTATGTGTTATGTATTTTAGTGAGCTGAGTGCTCCGCTACATCTTGGCAACATTATTTGGCGATCGTATCGGATTGAAAACAACGTCTTTTTGAGAATTAAAAAAAGAAATTGAAGGAAGAGGAATGAAGTGAAGTGAATGGAGCAGCTGGGTTTATTTCAATGATTCATACTTGGTATTCCTGCTCCGTTTCTGATAAGACCTAAACCGTTGAGCTTGTTTACCGAGAATGATGGAGAGAAATAAGAAGTCAGCAAATCTAACTGCAACCAAGTTGTTAGATATTATTTGCTCTGGATTTAATCCCTTAAGCTAACAGACGTCAGTGAATTGCATAAAAAGACGAAACTAATCGTGTCGGGAACGAAGCTAAAGCAACTTACGTGGTGCAATTCATGGAGAAGTTAAGAGTTTGTAGTTTTCTTTTCCTTTGGCACTAAATTATCCTGTGATTTTTATTTTATTTATTTTGTTAAATTAATATTAAACGTTAAAAGTCTAATTTACTCCTATTATGTTAAATTCAGAATAACGGTCGTCAGTACTAAATTGGTTTTCACCCGCCAAAAGTACAAAACTACATATCAAAAACCCTGGGCCTGTTTCACACTGGAACCAACAGAGCTTGAACCACAGTTGGTTTTGCCTGGAACTACAAAACTTATAACTGACTATTAATTTACAGTTTCCCCTCAAGAACTTGGGAAGCTGGCTCTGCTATTGCATTTGGATGACAAAATTGAATGTGTAAAGGAGAAACTACATTACAGATATTGTCCAAGGCTTTTACAATACGAGACGGCACCTTCTCACTATGAGTTTGAATCAATACCTGCAATGATTCAAATTTTCAATTTCAATACTTAGTAGTGCTAAATATAAATGTATTTATAAATTTAAAAAATAAATTAAACAAAGCAAATCTTAAGCCCCACGCGCTCACAACTCTCTTTTTTTCTGTTACCCACTTTTCCCACAACTACCACGCGCTCACAAAGATACATCAATTCCACCCTACGACAATAGACATAAGGGCCCATCATATTGAAATATCAATATTTTTCTGTCTGCTCACGGCGGTACAAGCGCGTCTTCTGTTCTGTTTTACCCAAATCAGTTTTCTTTTTATTCTGTTCTACGTGCGGGTGCATGAGCACTTATAAACATAATTATTATCATGCGATTTGGTTTTATTCTCTGCACTTTTATTCTCAATTTTCATTAATTCATATTATCGTTTTGTAGGAGGCAGCAAAATCATGTTATTTAAACGACGCCGCAAAAATGATGGATTTGGGCAGACAAGCACTATATCTATATCTACTAACACAAATCAGTGAAATCACATTTATCTCTCTCGTCCCATACACACAGACTAACACTCTTAACAGTAACCTTGAAGAAGAGCTGAAGACGAATATGCCTTCACTGGACGAAAAGGAAGCCGGTCATGAACTCTCATCATCACCTGTTGAGATTCACGTCTCATTGGAACCTTCCAAGAACGGCCACTGCTTGACTGAGCTTAACAGTAGCGGGATGCTCAACTGGGGTAATAGGAAGAAAGTTCTGTTCCTCAGAAATGATGAGACGGAGAAACTAGACGGTGAAGAAGAAGATGTGAAGTTAGATCGGTCACCTGAGGAGATGAAGGAGAATCGGAAGAGAAAGCGAGCGGCGCACGTGTTTATTACTAGCTGTGAGAAGAAGACGATGAAGAAGAAGAAAGGGACAAACAATTTAAGTTCTAGATGGTCGAAAGAGAGGTATCAAATAGCTGAAGTGAACATGTTTAAGATAATGAAGGAGAAAGAAGCGGTGTTTCGGAAGCCGATATTGAGGCCGGCGTTGAGAATGGAGGCGAGGAAACTGATCGGTGATACCGGTCTGTTGGATCATTTGTTGAAACACATGGCGGGGAAGGTGGCGCCAGGAGGACGAGAGAGGTTTCGAAGGAGACACAACGCCGACGGAGCTATGGAGTACTGGTTGGAGAGTGCTGATTTGGTTAATATTCGAAAAGAGGCAGGAGTTGAGGATCCTTATTGGATTCCACCGCCTGGTTGGAGCCTTGGTGATAATCCGATTCAGGATCCTGTTTGTGCCATGGAGTTCAAGCTGCTCAAGGAAGCCATGGCCAAAATGGAAAGGTTACTACCTGCCTGAGGCTTTTTAATTTCCTTGTAACAAATTGATGTTGAATAATACTGATATATATTTGTGTTTGTTTGGAAATCAACAGGAACATGCAGGAGCTCTTGTTAAAGAAGCAAGAGGATGACGTGGCTGTTGTGAACACTCCAAGTTCTTGTAATACGAGTCAGAACTTTGATCATGACAACTTCTTGCTTCCATTGAAGGTAAATGATTAACTATTGAACAGGGGATTTGATCCCCAGAGTGTTGTTAATCTAACTCTTTCGGTGTTTGTTGGATTGTTTTGGCAGGAGATGTATACAGATTTGGTGAATAAGAAAGCTAAGATTGAAGAACAAATGATGGAAGTTTCACGATCTCTTCGTGGAATGCAGGTATTCAATTATTAAACCTTCAATTACTGAGTTTCCTTTTATTTCTATATGTTTATCTGCTTTTGAATCTTTGTCCGATAATTGAAAACATGTGGTGATTAATGTTACAATAATTAATGCTGGACATGATTAACAAACATTTGTTAGTATTAATTAGTTAATATTTTAGTGATGATTGGTTATTTATGGTGTCTATGTTTAAAGCTTTAACTAAATTCATACATTGCATAAATTAATGGTAATCATCCAGGTTCTAATGGAGAAGCTAAAATCATCAATGGAGGAAACATACAAATCAAAATCAACCCTAGCACCGTTACTACAAATGGGATCAACAATATCACCTGCGACTATGACAAAAGCAATAATACCAGAAGAAAGAGCCGCCAAAATAGAAAGACTAAAGAGCGGCTTCAGGATATGTAGGCCACAGGGGAGTTTTATGTGGCCGGACATGGCAATGTCGGTTAGGGATGTAGTCCCTCTTGAAGATCTCATTATGGTCTCAACACCTCCCTCAGTTTCCTCTTCCTCCACCTCACCACCACACCTCCTCCTCTCTCCCGACCTTTCCCAAATGGGAAATCATCCAATATCCCTGGTCAAGCCACGGCCTGAGAAGGGCCCCATTGCTATCACTTTGAGTAATCATTCTTTTCCTTCTGAAACCACCACCACCCAGACCCAGTTTGTGAAAAAGACAACTACTGCTGTTACCATTAATACCAGCACCAAAACTTCTCTTATTAACCTCAATGTGGTTCCCAACAACCAAAATGAGACGACCACCACTGTTGTTTCATTAGTATGTATAACTTCACTGGCTATCTCAATTTCATTTTTATCATCAGTTTTTTTACTATGTATTGAAGATGATATATATATTAAAGTTGGCATGCTTTTTGTTACAGTTACAACCTGAAAAGCAAGAGGATACTATGAGGCAAACCGTGGGAGGTGAAAGAAAGGAAATATTAATGGATTGTGAGCAGAAGAGAAGGGGATGCTCCTCAGCTTCATCATCATTTTCTTGGCTGGCTCTAGCCACCCCGAATCCACCTTTGCATAAACGGGATTGAACATTTATTATTATCATCGTCATCATGACCACCCAGTTTATATGTATATTTGTTGTTTTAAGTTTTAACATGGAAAGAATGATAATTTGGCTCTTATATTTAGAATACATGCATACAAGATGGTTTTTCAATTTAAGAACTTTGATCTTATTCTTGAAAAAAGTTAAATGGATATAGTTTGTCTTATTAGGATTTACTTATATAAGACAAGAACATAAAGAACAAATTGAAATTATTTGAACGTACTTCTCTTTTTGGAAGATACTTTTTCGAGTAATTAATTAGGAGTAGATAACAAGGGAAGAATTAAAACCAGATTAATACTTCTGATTTCTGAAATAAATGGACACATTATTTACATTAAACATGAAAGATGGTTTTGCTCAAATGCACAAAAAAACAAGGAAAATTTTTACTCATTTGGTATTTACTTATCCCAACCATATAAATTCTTACAAAACTACATATAAATAGTAAATACTTGAAAACCCTGGGCCTGTTTTACACTGCAACCAACTGAGCTTGAACCACGGTTGGTTTTGCCTGGAACTACAAAACTTGTAACTGACTATTAATTTACAGTTTCTCCTCAAAAACTTGGANGACGACCAGCACACCTCCATCATTCCTGCCTGTTGCTGCCCATCTGCTTGCAAATTAAGCAACCCGTTGTTGACCTTCTTAACTTAAATAATCAAATAATTTTCTCTGAAGAACAACCAGCTGTTTCCGTTGACCTTTCACATTAACCATACAGCCTACATTGCTAACTCTTTTCATGTTGGTTGTCGGAGTATTCTGACAACTGTGTAAACTCATTCTGAAACTCAATATAAAATAACTTATATGTAATTAATTTATTAAGCATGTGTTTCTGTTGATTTGCATAATTAATTCTTGTTTCTTTTCCTGCTTTTCTTTTCACACTCTAGTAATTAATTCCAAATTTGAAGATTATAATTTAAGAAATTTTAGGTAACCAACTACCTATAAAAGCCACCACATCCCAACTGAACAAACTACCTCATCATTTTCATATCTTGATAAATTAATTAATGGCTGAATCACAGACAACTGTAGAGCTTCCTGTACTTGATATTTCTCAGCCTTTAAGCACCTCCAAGCTCTCTGCCCTCTCCGCAGCCTGCAAAGAATGGGGTTTCTTCTATATCACCAACCATGGAGTCTCCAAAGATCTTTACAGGAAACTTCATTCCCTCTCAAATCATCTCTTCAACCTCCCTTATGAAACCAAAGTCAAGGTTGGCCCTTTTTCATCCATCAAAACTTACACACCACACTTCATTGCGTCCCCTTTCTTCGAGAGTTTTCGAGTGTCTGGACCCGACTTTTCCTCTTCTGCCCAGAGTTCTGTGGAGGCTCTCCTTAAGGAACCAAATTCAGACTTCAGGTAAAAGCACGTTATACAGTTTTCTAATCTTCTTTTTATCACCGCACACTACTTGCGTTTCACGGCTAAGAAATAGCCTGACATGTTGGTTAATAACCACTTGAGCGCCCTTCTTTTACAAGTCAGTTTCAACGTGAATTTACTCATTTGTAATTCTTACAATTGGTATCAAAACAAAACCATCTTCTAGACAAACCTTGAGGGTTTGGCACTCACTTAGGAACGCCTACCTTATCGCAAATGAGAACTAGTAACACTTTGATTTAAATTGGTTTAGATTGATTTAGATACTAATTATACGGCATGAATTTAGTCATCTTTAACTCGTATTGTTTCTGATAGTTAGAGTGATTCTGTTTTGATTTTGTTGGCAGTGAGACATTAAAGGAGTATGGAAGGAAGATGACAGAGCTATCAAAAGCAATAGTACAGTTTGTTCTAATGAGCTTAGGCAAAGATTTTCAAAAGAAATTCTATGAATCTGAATTCAGCAAGTGCCATGGTTACTTGAGAATAATCAACTACTCACCTCCGGAAAATGTGGTAGAAAAACAAGTTGAAGGGCTAGGGATGCACACAGACATGAGTTGTGTGACAATAGTTTATCAAGATGAGATTGGAGGGCTTCAAGTGAGATCTAAAGAAGGTACATGGATGGACATAAACCCATGTGAAGACACTCTCGTTGTCAACATTGGAGATTTGATGCATGCATGGAGCAATGGGAGGCTCAGGTCATCTGAACATAGAGTTGTTCTAAAACGTAATGCTAATAGATTTTCTTTGGCGTTCTTCTGGTGTTTTGAAGATGAGAAAAACATTTCAGCCCCGGATGAAGTTGTCGGAGAAGAAGATAACAGGGTATACAAGACGTTTATTTGTAAGGATTATTTGAGATTTAGAGAGAGCAGCGAGAAAGGGAAGTTTGAGAAGGTGGGTTTTACAGTGAAACAGTTTGCAGGAATTAATTCATAATCAAGAGATGAAGAAGTGATTATTGGGTTTGTTAATTAAGTTTTTGCTATGTATATTTCCAGTAACTTGTTCTTATTTGTTCATGAATTAATCTGAAGCAATGAATTGAAGCTTCAAAATGTGTGGGTATGAATAAAATAATGATTCAATATGGTGGCTGATTTGGTTTACTGTATATGTATAATGTGGATTGGATGACATCTGCCAGCACATTAACAGATAAGTAATGCCAAAAATATTTTTGTGTAGCAGAAACAAAATCTTTTTATAATTTCAGTGCTATAAATTTAGTTAAAATTTTATTTTTACTTGTATTCGGCAAGTAAAATCTAGTCTCAATCCATACTTACGAATATCAAGTTAGATCCACATTTTTTTTTTTTTACCGGAGATGTCCGTACCAATTTATATGCATCTTAACTAATCTCCTAGAACTCGAAAACTACTGGCTGGATAAGAGATCTAATGACTACCCCTATTAGCAACTAAGTATAAACTCAAATTTAGTCTCAATCCATACTTACGAATTTCAAGTTAGATCCATATATATAGATTTTGATGATCGGGGGATGTCTGTATTAGCTTATGTGCACCTCATCTAATCTCCTGAGACTCTGAAAACGACCGGCCAAATAAGAGATTTAATGGATACACCTATTAGCAACCAATTAGAAACTCAAATTCATGACCTCTTAAGTAAAATACACTCAAGAGTCCCTATCCAACTATTGAATCACTCGGGGGTAGTTAAATTGTTGGTGATAAGATCTTTTCTCTTTAACTAAATAGATTGTTTTGGATGATAAATTCCAAAGCAGATGTAGAATATCTACTTTGATTAACTATTTGAAGAGCGGACAATATTGTTATAATGCCAATTTACAAGTATTCATTTTATATAAAAAAAAATTAAAAAAAAAAAAAAAAAAAAAAAAAAATCCTGTCAAGTTTAAACAAGTTGTTATTTTTAAAAAAAAAAAATAAATAAATAATAGACAGTTTTTGTTAATATGATTCCTGTTAAACCCTACAAAGAAAATGTAATACATACTTTTTTATTTATGTTATCTCGTGATAAACCAAACAACAAGAAGTTAACAAATTGCAATGTGATAGTTTGATTAATTTTTTTCTTTTTTTTTTATGATCAAGACTGTTCGGGCCAGCTTGTACGCAACTTAGTTAAACCGAGACCCTAAAGTTGAGAGCTAGATAAATCCTCTCAATGAACAACTATATTAACAATCCAAGTTAATTGAATTCAGAACTTCTTAGTAATACACCCAAGATGCCAAAAGTCCTAGTTAACCGTTAGATTACTCAGTGGTAATTAATAATTTATTAAGTGATTATGCATGGGAATTAGATAATAAATTAAATAAATAAAGTAATACATACTTCTTACTTATGTAAACTCGTGAGAAACCAAACGTCAAAAAAAATAACGAATATAGCAAAGAAATAGAGAGTTAAATTAATTAATTAATAATTGATTAAGTGATAATGGGAGGCCACAAAGCCTCCTGAGTCCTGAGGTTGAAGAATTAATGGGTGCTAAATAATTGGCATTTCTCACGGGGACGGCCACCACCGATTATCAAATGGTGCACCTTTTGATCGAGCCCATTGAGGTCGTCAAATTACACCTCAATTTTCCTGTCAATTTAAATTAATTTAACCACCTCCAACTTTAATTATATGTTTATCGATTCCAATACTACGTCAAACCTCATAAACTAAAACTAAAATACATTAATTTTACTTTTAATTTTAATATTCTAATACTAAAACATTGTCTCGCTTCAACTTTATGCATATTGTTTGACTTCCTTAATTTATGCCATAATTTTCTCTGCTTTGCACTAATCATATATATATATATAAAGTTGAATACCTATACGGTCTGATCGACACATGACACATATTGAAAGCTCTATAATTGTTCCATTTTGATACATTGGATTGACAAATCAATCAAATTGCTCTATCTTGATATGTTGAGTTAGTATTTATTGCTCTATATATAATTATTAATTAATTAAAAAAATAGAATTTGTATTAATAATTAATAATAGTAATAATAATAATAATACAGGTGCATTGCATTAGCATTATAAATGTCTAACCATAATGACACCTTGGATTTGTGATTGTCATGTAGTTGAATTTTATTGGTGATGATGTAGATAATATTAATTGTTGTATTGCTATTCCAAAGTCTAAATAATCAGACATAAAGATTGGATTACATAGGTGCATTACATTGGTAGTAAAAGCATACTTGTTTATTAATATTATATAGGTGCATTGTATTAACATTGCAAACATTTCTTCGTATTCAATTCGTATTTAATTGTGTTTATATTCAAAAGGTCTAAATAAGGGGTTTAAAAGAGGCGTATGTTTAGTTATGTATTATCGCAATATATTAGTTGGTTTCAACAATACGTTTGGTCTTTTGTTAATTGTTTATAGGTCATGTTAGTTTGTGCCAATAATACATCTATTCTTCATGATTTTGTTAATCGATAATTTTTATTTATTTATATTTTTGTTGTTGTTTACAGGTCAAAGATTCACGAATTGGCATATAATAAAGGAAGGATGTCCGATTGACATTGTCAAATGAGTTGTTATTTTGATTCGTTCTTCTGAACTGTAAGTATATAATCTAACTATTTTAATATGAAATTGTAAGTATATCTCCTAACTATTTTAACGGTTATTATTTGGTTGAATGATTATTTTTATTCGGTCAATCTATTTGAATGATTAATTGTGTTAGTCCTGCCGAACAGTAAGTGTATTCCTTAATAATCTTAACATAAAGATTAATTAAATTTTGTTATGTTTGTTTTCAAGGAAATGTTCATGTACTTTACTAACATCAAATCGAGGATGATCTTATTGTCAGCTGAACTGTGAGTATGTGTCATATCTATATTAATAGAAATAGTTCATTTGTGTTGAATATGTTTTCTGTAAAAATATTCGTGTATTTTAATTTGTTATATAAATGATTAATTGTTTATGTCTTACTGATGTGCGATTATATATGTTAAATGAATTAATTTTGGCTGATTATGTTTTCCAATTAATATGTGTTATTTTAAATATTTCTTATCAATTCTAATATGATAATCCCTTAAATTTGGGTCAAGTGAACCATTCATTTTATCATCACATGCATTTCAGTTTCCACTGAACAACTAGTAATAAATTGACCACAACTCTACGGCATGAATTTAGTCATCTTTAACTCGTATTGTTTCTGATAGTTAGAGTGATTCTGTTTTGATTTTGTTGGCAGTGAGACATTAAAGGAGTATGGAAGGAAGATGACAGAGCTATCAAAAGCAATAGTACAGTTTGTTCTAATGAGCTTAGGCAAAGATTTTCAAAAGAAATTCTATGAATCTGAATTCAGCAAGTGCCATGGTTACTTGAGAATAATCAACTACTCACCTCCGGAAAATGTGGTAGAAAAACAAGTTGAAGGGCTAGGGATGCACACAGACATGAGTTGTGTGACAATAGTTTATCAAGATGAGATTGGAGGGCTTCAAGTGAGATCTAAAGAAGGTACATGGATGGACATAAACCCATGTGAAGACACTCTCGTTGTCAACATTGGAGATTTGATGCATGCATGGAGCAATGGGAAGCTCAGGTCATCTGAACATAGAGTTGTTCTAAAACGTAATGCTAATAGATTTTCTTTGGCGTTCTTCTGGTGTTTTGAAGATGAGAAAAACATTTCAGCCCCCGATGAAGTTGTTGGAGAAGAAGATAACAGGATGTACAAGACGTTTATTTGTAGGGATTATTTGAGATTTAGAGAGAGCAGCGAGAAAGGGAAGTTTGAGAAGGTGGGTTTTACAGTGAAACAGTTTGCAGGAATTAATTCATAATCAAGAGATGAAGAAGTGATTATTGGGTTTGTTAATTAAGTTTTTGCCATGTATATTTCCAGTAACTTGTTTTTATTTGTTCATGAATTAATCTGAAGCAATGAATTGAAGCTACAAAATGTGTGGGTATGAATAAAATAATGATTCAATATGGTGGCTGATTCGGTTTACTGTATATGTATAATGTGGATTGGATGCATCTGCCGGCACATTAACGAATTTGAGTAAAATTTCCAGTTTGAACCGAAAACTTTTAACAGATAATTAATGCCAAAAATCTTTTTGTGTAACTGAAACAAAATCTTTTTGGGTGCGTTTGGTTTAGTATTTTGGATAGGATTTTAGGGATAGTATTGGGTTATTGGATAGGGGAGTAATAGGGGAGTATTACGAGGTAAATTTTAAAAATTTATGAAAAAGCCCTTAAGTTTACTAATTTAACTAAAGACCCTAACATATAAAATGACAAAAACACCCCCACCACCTGCAGTGTCAGATTCCGGCCACCACCGCCGGAATCTGGCCGAAAAATTTCGTTACGGCACAGACCGGTCGGATTTGTGCCGTAACACGTCGGATCTAGCCGGAAAAGGCCAGATCTATGGTCTGTTATGGCCGTTGATGGCCGGAAAAGGCCAAACAAGGGCCATCTTTGGCCGTCAGCGACGGCCAAATCCGTGGTAGATCTGGCCGAAAAAGGCCACAGCGGTGAACTTCCGGCCATTTCTGGTCGAAAGTTAGGCCGTTATACAGATTCCGGCTATCACCGACGGTGGTTGCCGGAATCTGACAAGTTGGGTTGATGGGGGTGCTTTTGTTAATTTTTAAACTTTTTTTCAGGGGGTATTTAGTGAAATTAATAACCTTATGGGGTTTAAATGTAATTAAAAAATAGAGTAATATTTCTGGAATAATGTGCCAAACATTATTTGGAGAATAGGATCCAGAATAGGGATAAAAATATTAAGCCAAACATGCCGTTTATAATTTCAGTGCCATAAATTTAGTTAAAATTTTATTTTTACTTGTATTCGGCAAGTAAATTAAAATTTAGTCTCAATCCATACTTATGAATATCAAGTTAGATCCACATTTTTTTTTTTTTTTATGACTAGGGATGTCCGAGCCAGTTTATATGCACCTCAACTAATTTCCTAGGACTTTGAAACTATCGACTGAATAAGAGATCCAGTGACTACCTCTATTAGCAACTAAGGATAAACTCAAATTTAGTCTCATCCATACTTACAAACTTCAAGTTAGATCCATATTTTTTATTTTATTTTTTATGATTGGAGGGTGTTTGAGCCAGCTTATGTGCACCTCAACTAATCTCTTAGGACTCTGAAACGACTGACCAAATAAGAGATTTAATGGCTACTGCTATTAACAACCAAGGAGAAACTCGAATTCAGGACCTCTTAAGTAATACACTCAAGAGTCCCTATCTAACTATTGAATCACTCACGGGTAGTTAAATTGTTGGTGATAAGATCTTTTCTCTTTAACTAAATAGACTGTTTTGGATGATAAATTCCAAAGCAGATGTAGAATATCTACTTTGATTAACTATTTGAAGAGTGGACAATATTGTTATAATGCCAATTTACAAGTATTCATTTTATATAAAAAAATTAAAAAAAATAAAATTATGTCAAGTTTAAACAAGTTGTTATTTTTTTTTTAAAAATAAATAAATAATAGACAGTTTTTGTTAATATGATTCCTGTTAAACCCTACAAAGAAAATGTAATACATACTTTTTTATTTATGTTATCTCGTGATAAACCAAACAACAAGAAGTTAACAAATTGCAATGTGATAGTTTGATTAATTTTTTTCTTTTTTTTTTATGATCAAGACTGTTCGGGCCAGCTTGTACGCAACTTAGTTAAACCGAGACCCTAAAGTTGAGAGCTAGATAAATCCTCTCAATGAACAACTATATTAACAATCCAAGTTAATTGAATTCAGAACTTCTTAGTAATACACCCAAGATGCCAAAAGTCCTAGTTAACCGTTAGATTACTCAGTGGTAATTAATAATTTATTAAGTGATTATGCATGGGAATTAGATAATAAATTAAATAAATAAAGTAATACATACTTCTTACTTATGTAAACTCGTGAGAAACCAAACGTCAAAAAAAATAACGAATATAGCAAAGAAATAGAGAGTTAAATTAATTAATTAATAATTGATTAAGTGATAATGGGAGGCCACAAAGCCTCCTGAGTCCTGAGGTTGAAGAATTAATGGGTGCTAAATAATTGGCATTTCTCACGGGGACGGCCACCACCGATTATCAAATGGTGCACCTTTTGATCGAGCCCATTGAGGTCGTCAAATTACACCTCAATTTTCCTGTCAATTTAAATTAATTTAACCACCTCCAACTTTAATTATATGTTTATCGATTCCAATACTACGTCAAACCTCATAAACTAAAACTAAAATACATTAATTTTACTTTTAATTTTAATATTCTAATACTAAAACATTGTCTCGCTTCAACTTTATGCATATTGTTTGACTTCCTTAATTTATGCCATAATTTTCTCTGCTTTGCACTAATCATATATATATATATAAAGTTGAATACCTATACGGTCTGATCGACACATGACACATATTGAAAGCTCTATAATTGTTCCATTTTGATACATTGGATTGACAAATCAATCAAATTGCTCTATCTTGATATGTTGAGTTAGTATTTATTGCTCTATATATAATTATTAATTAATTAAAAAAATAGAATTTGTATTAATAATTAATAATAGTAATAATAATAATAATACAGGTGCATTGCATTAGCATTATAAATGTCTAACCATAATGACACCTTGGATTTGTGATTGTCATGTAGTTGAATTTTATTGGTGATGATGTAGATAATATTAATTGTTGTATTGCTATTCCAAAGTCTAAATAATCAGACATAAAGATTGGATTACATAGGTGCATTACATTGGTAGTAAAAGCATACTTGTTTATTAATATTATATAGGTGCATTGTATTAACATTGCAAACATTTCTTCGTATTCAATTCGTATTTAATTGTGTTTATATTCAAAAGGTCTAAATAAGGGGTTTAAAAGAGGCGTATGTTTAGTTATGTATTATCGCAATATATTAGTTGGTTTCAACAATACGTTTGGTCTTTTGTTAATTGTTTATAGGTCATGTTAGTTTGTGCCAATAATACATCTATTCTTCATGATTTTGTTAATCGATAATTTTTATTTATTTATATTTTTGTTGTTGTTTACAGGTCAAAGATTCACGAATTGGCATATAATAAAGGAAGGATGTCCGATTGACATTGTCAAATGAGTTGTTATTTTGATTCGTTCTTCTGAACTGTAAGTATATAATCTAACTATTTTAATATGAAATTGTAAGTATATCTCCTAACTATTTTAACGGTTATTATTTGGTTGAATGATTATTTTTATTCGGTCAATCTATTTGAATGATTAATTGTGTTAGTCCTGCCGAACAGTAAGTGTATTCCTTAATAATCTTAACATAAAGATTAATTAAATTTTGTTATGTTTGTTTTCAAGGAAATGTTCATGTACTTTACTAACATCAAATCGAGGATGATCTTATTGTCAGCTGAACTGTGAGTATGTGTCATATCTATATTAATAGAAATAGTTCATTTGTGTTGAATATGTTTTCTGTAAAAATATTCGTGTATTTTAATTTGTTATATAAATGATTAATTGTTTATGTCTTACTGATGTGCGATTATATATGTTAAATGAATTAATTTTGGCTGATTATGTTTTCCAATTAATATGTGTTATTTTAAATATTTCTTATCAATTCTAATATGATAATCCCTTAAATTTGGGTCAAGTGAACCATTCATTTTATCATCACATGCATTTCAGTTTCCACTGAACAACTAGTAATAAATTGACCACAACTTGCTCAATAAAACTCCAATTGATGAGAGGTTTGAATCTTTAGAAACTANATATAAAGTTGAATGCCCATATGGTTTGATCGACACGTGGCATATATTGAAAGCTTTAAAATTACTTCATTTTGACACATTGGATTGACAAGTCAATCAAATTATTCTATCTTGACACGTTGAGTTAGTATTTATTGCTCTATCTATAATTATTAATTAATTAAAAAAATAGAATTTGCATTAATAATTAATAATAATAATAATAATAATAATAATACAGGTACATTGTATTAGCATTCTAAAGGTCTGACCATAATGACACATTAGATTTGTGATTGTCATGTAGTTGAATTTTATTGGTGATGATGTAGACAATATTAATTTCTGCATGGTATTCCAAAGTCTAAATAAATAGACATAAATATTGGATTACATAAGTGCATTACATTGGTAATAAAAGCATATCTGTTTATTAATAATTATATAGATGCATTGTATTGACATTACAAACATTTCTTCATATTCAATTCGTATTTAATTGTGTTAACATTCAAAAGGTCTAAATAAGAGGTTTAAAAGAGGCGTATGTTCAGTTGTGTATTATCGTAATATGTTAGTTGGTGTCAATAATACGTCTGGTCTTTTGTTAATTGTTTATAGGTCATGTTAGTTTATGTAAATAATGCATTTAATATTCATGATTTTGTTAATCGATGATTTTTTTTTTATTTATGTTTTTGTTGTTGTTTACAGGTCAAAGATTCATGAATTGATATAGAATAAAGAAAGAATGCCCGATTGACATTGTCAAATGAGTTGTTATTTTAATTCGTTCTTCTAAACTGTAAGTATATACTTTAACTATTTTAATACGAAATTGTAAGTATATCTCTTAATTATTTTAATGGTTATTATTTGGTTGAATGATTGTTTTTATTCGGTTAATCTATTTGAATGACTAATTGTGTTAGTCTTGGTGAACAATAAGTGTATTCCTTAACAATCTTAACATAAAGATTGATTAAATTTTGTTATATTTGTTTTCAAGGAAATGTTCATGTATTTTACTAAGATCAAATCAAGGATGATCATATTGTAAGTCGAATTGTGAGTATATATCATATCTATATTAGTAGAAATAGTTCATTTGTGTTGAATATGTTTTCTGTAAAAACATTCGTGTATTTTAATTTGTTATATGA